ACCCCATCAAATTAACAGCAATATGGCACCTCTTTTTCCTTTTTATTTTTTTTCCCGTTTTTCGGGGGGGGGGGGAGGTAAGTGCCCCCCCCCCCTCGCAACGCCCATGCTGCAGTCCAATCACTCTAATAACAGTAAAAGAAATATCAGGGGGAAAAAGGGGCCGCCTCTTTCCTTTTTCCCGACGAGAAAATTTGGATGAGAAACCAACAAAAAAGTCGGATGAGAAATGCATTACTCTGCAGTCCAATCACTCTAATGGCAGTAAAAAATAACAGGGGAAAAAAGGCTGCCTCCTTCCTTTTTCCAACGAGAAAAGTCGGATGAAAACCTTTTTTTTTTACTTGGCCTCCAATATGGAGAAACATGCACAATGTACATGCAATTTGCATTATGTGTGTAAAAACTGCAAAAGTAACTTCAGCAAGACATAAAATTGAACACTTGCAACAGTTTGCAAAACAAATTAATAACCCCCTAGGCCCTTTTTGCTAGGAACCATCTCCAATCCTCTAAAATTCCTCCAAAAGTTTGCACTTAAAAGTTCAAATGAAGGATACCCAGCGCCTCAATCCTTCAAAACTGTCAGAATGCATTCATCCTCAATCCTCCAAAAGCCTCCTCTTCAAACACCATTCATCCTCAATCCTCCAAAATCCTCCTGTTTCTCAAACACCATTCATCCTCAAAGTTAAAAGTACACCAAAGTTATGGGGTTTTTTTTTTTAAATGTTGCAACCTGACGTCAGCAGTTGTGTACAAAGTCTAAGGAGAGTCAATATTTTTTTTAAAAGTATTTCCTAACGAAATTGGAAATGTTTCTCAGTCGCAGATTCATGTCTTACACCATTTTTGCAATGACTGACCTTCGTTGAGATGATATACATGTATGAAGAAAAAAGTGGCGTCAGGTTGCAACATTTTTTCCTTTTTTTTCCTTCACCTGTTTTTTTTTAATACATTCTGTTACAATAAAAATTTGCCAAATATGCAATCGGCCCCAATAAATTTACATGTACAGTGAAACGCTGCTATAACGAACACAATGGGGTACACAGAAAGTGTTCGTTATAGCGGTTGTTCATTATAGTGATTGTGCATTAAAATAGAATTCACTATTTCCGGAGCCCGTGGGGACGTTCGTTATAACCAAATGTTCGTTATAGTGGTGTTCGTTATAGCGGCATTTCACTGTATTTGGGAAATTGGGACAGTACTGGAAAACGTATTGGCACCACCAGGCTACATTCATGTTTGGGGCAAAAATGACAATATCAATTCATCTCTCTTATACATACCTAATTCCCAAATTACTTAAGGCTTTTGTAACATCGAGCAATTTTTTTTTCACTTAAATATTGACTCTAGTTTTATTATAACACCTCTCACACAGATTCTGTATCTTGATTGGCCGAGAGCAATTTGCATGGCATTCGCTTTTTTTGCTATTTTCGCTATAGAACTGCTGAAAAAGTACTATATGCGTAGCAACTTAAGTACATACACGCATGGCAACCAGTATGCATGGGTGCAAACGCATGTGTGTGCGTAGGGAGTTGTGCATAATTTCTTTTCAAGCGCTAGCACTACTACAGAACTGGGTTCAAACATTTCGTGAAGGGTTACTTTGGAAAAGTGTGGTACACTTTCAACTAATTTCATATTGAAATAACTATACGGTAGATAGTACATTTTAATTGTATTTAGATTAAATTAATCACTTATCTCTTATAATCAAGCAGAATATGTGAGTAAGGCGTTATAAAACAAAAATTGACTGCTTTCACTCGTGGTGTAGTAAAACTGGCTTCCCTTGGTGACCCATGGAGCATTTCGTTTCCTTCAGCTACGCCTCAGGAAACCAGAACGCTCCAGGGTTCACCTCGGGAGGCTAGTTTTACACCACTCGAAGCAGCCAATATTTGTATAATATTCAACAACATTTTGATACGATATTATGACTTTAATACACACCCATAATTCAATGCAGTTGTGTAGTACTGCAAACTTGTGTGCAAATGTAAAGGAAAAGAGTAGAAAAGTAGAAAAAGAGTAGCAAGGACTACTTTAAAGGGAATATACAACATTTGCAAACATCGAGAAAAAAAACTACCAAGTTTTTGCGAAATACCTTAATAGGATGTTGGTAAATGACAGCCTGAAGCATCCTGTAAAATTATGGCACCTGGTATACTGTCATTTTCAAGAAAAGTGGTATTTTTGTATCAATTTCCAACGCTGATCGGCCGATCAGCGTTGGAAACAACTGGCTTTTTTTTCAAATACTGGCCCCAATTGACCATTGCACTTGTTTGCAATCGATTACAAACCTATGAACGGGTACGAGCCAGCTAGACTGGTTCCCTGACCTTACAATTCCCCAATGTATGTAAACTGCTCTGTTTCTTCTTATATGGAGTCAGGGAACCAGACTACAGGAAAATGATCGTTTTTCTTGGTTTTTATAGCATTTTCGAACCCAAAACCTCCAAAAAGTCAGTGCAACTATATTTGCTTTATATTTCCAACCCCCCAATTCCATCCATTTCTGAAAATTACAGCAAAAGCAAATGATGTATATTCCCTTTAACAGACATTTTTTGGTGAGAAAACAAATGTCGATTTTGATCTTGTAACTTTCACAGTCAGAAATGTATTAAAAATATTTGGAGTTTCTAACAAACAGTACAAAGCTTTAAATGTACTTTTTTGAATTGTAAGGGTTCGGGATGTTTGCCCGCAAGTTTGCATTATTAGATGTACATTTGTATCATAAACAGCGCCCCCTAGTGGCATCTGGTGTTTATGAAATATTCTGCAATTAAATGTAGGATTCAATTTAAAACAATAAAGGAAGACAACTCTTACTTTTTTTTGGGGGGGGGGGGAAGGAATTCAAAATGAGGACACTGAAGGAGAATCGAACTTGGCGCATAAAAAAAGGGGACGAACCTGTGTTAACAGGAACGGAGTGCCCATCTCTCTTTCGTTAGCGATTGGGCCAGACTTATATGCTGCTGAGGGGGGATCGCCACACCTCCTCCACAGCGAGTCTGTTACCTTCCCGGCATTGAATAATGCCGGTACCCATTTAACACCTGGGTTGAGAGGAGTAATTGAGGTAAAGCGCCTTACTCAAGGGCACAACACGCATGTTCACGATGGGGCTCGAACCCACAATCTCACGATCATGAATCCTGTGCTCCACCGCTAGACCACACGTGTCCACAACTTGGAGCATCCTCGTGATTCCTTTTGGTCAAGGTGGTGCACGCTATCCACTAGACCCGTGAACGTGGACATGTTATGCTCCAGAGTTGTGTAGAAACACTTGACGCACGAGATGGTATGGGTACCCAGACGGCTCCTACCATTTTGCGCGTGCATGTGTACCACCATACCGTGCGTGACCTCAGAAAATCCAAGGTTTTGCTCATAACATGTACATTTGTTGTTGTGTCGAGGTCGTTTTTTCCCCTCAAATTTCTTGGCAATGCAAGATCCTACGCTCGAGTGAATTTACAGAAAGCGTTGTATGTACATGTAAGTACCTATAATACTGGCGAAATGACAATTTCGAGTGTATTTACGTGAGGCTGGAGCATGGCGTTGCTATTGACGCCCTGTTTACGAGTCTAGCTATCCACCAGTGTTGTAGTCGAGACTGGATAGTCCGAGATCGAGACAAAAACCAAGACCTGATGTTTTGAGACCGAGACCAGCCCCCTCAAGGCGGACCGAGACCAATATGGTCTGAGACCGAGACCGAGACCGCGGATGATAAATAACAATAATCTAAATAAAAACCAAGACACATAATTACAGCTGAGCAGTGTGTCCTTGAGATGATGATGTTGATGGGGATGTGAAGGAAGTGATTGAAAGCTAGGAATCACTTGTACAAGTCTGCTTGTGTCATGCGAGTGCTCTTCATGTTTGCTTCATACTTTAAATTACAACATGACATCAGAATTGTTATTGTTGGCACAATCAATTACACAATTTGAAACAACTCCATATCTCATTGCCACTTTAAAAAAAAAAAAAAAATTAATATTTTTTTAAAAATATTTTTAAAAATCTGATGGAGAACCTCTAACTTAGGAGTGCAATGTTTTAACATTGCAAAAGATTTATAAACATTTTTGCACTATGCGAAAATGTTTACTTATTTTTTGCAATGCTAAAACTTGACCAAAGTAAAAAATTAAAGGTGGATGTTTCATCTGTTATAGGAACTCCGATCCTAAACCCTTGGTTTCAACTATGCTATGACTACTATAAACAGATACAAAGATGCAATTTTAATTTTACATTGAGCCTCTTTTTTCTTAAATAATAATAGGACTTAACTTCTACCAAGACTTGTAAACCTGATTCTAAAAAATGGGAGATAGAAAATATTGAATTATCTTTTAAAACTTACGTCATGGATTATAGACTTGTACATGTAGACCCACAAGTTACGAGGTGGTAACCAAATAATATAAATAAATATGGAAATTTTTTTTCTGACCCGGATTTTGCTTTTTGAGAAATGGGGTACTAAATGAGCAGCTAAAAAATGAAGTCTCATCATACACTCTCATGGCAACAGTGAGTTGTAACTGTGTGATTGTGAATTCATTGCTGGAAAATCAGGTAGAAAAATTTACTTTTTCTCCAAAAGACTGTCCCAAATTAAAGAGAAGATTGTGTGGGGTCGAAAATGTCACCAAGTTGGAGCAGCTCATTCAAGAACAAAAAAATACAAGTGAATACGCCCACAGGGATGGGCTAAACCATTCCTTGCCTTGCTCTATGGCTAAACTACACAATCCCCGACCGAGTCGGTCACGGACCGAGTTGACCGGCACCCGTTGCACTGCCAAACTGCGGCGGCACCGGCGGCATGAACCCACGAGACGGGAGGCTCACGTAAATAAAATGAGTTTTGCTCCTGAAAAAAAAAAATCTTCTACTTTCACAGTAAATTACAACACAAAACTGGATAATCTTACCGTAACTGTAACAATGGCTGTGTTTACTTCTTCCGATCCTCGCAATTAATCGTGAAAAACCGTAAAAATATATACGAGAAAATAAACATGTCAGCACCGCTCAGCTAGCTTCGTCTGGCTCCCTACTCAAAAACGAATATAAAGCGTGCTGAAATCTAAGGGGGGCAGACGTTGTCTAGAACGCTATTTCGCTGCGCCAGTTTTCAAGCTTAAGGCCGTGTCCGAAACGGACTTCCAGAGCTACGGCTACGTCTATTGTCAGCGCGTCCCCGCGTATTTTCAATAGGCGCGGACCTAGACCTAGCTCTAGACAGTTGATTCGGATGCAGCCTCAGTGAACTTCATACTTGGTGGCGCTATTTACGCGTATCGGTCAACAACAAAAATTCCCCTGAGCTTGCGGATCAGAAAAAACACTCCTACTAGTAGAGTCCAAAACATGAGTTCCGTGACCATTCTCTGGCTAGGATGGTTTGACGATGGATTTGACTTCTATGGACCATTTTAAAAGAAATTAGCCCCCCGGTCCCTCCCAAAAATCCCGGCATTTTTCACAAGGGGGCCAAATCCAAGATGGCCGCCGGCGCCATCTTGAAAAATTAACTTTTGAACCAGAGCACCTAGAATCATGTATGAAGACACTTTTTCAGGTAAGTCGACCCATGAGGATTCCGATTCTGACATCAGTTTGACGCTATGGCATCATTTTGACCCAGAAATCCAAGATAACCCCCATTTGATAGAGCAAAAACATAACTTTTGAACGGGAGCACACCCCTAGGATCATGAATGAACACATTATTTTGGCAAAACCATTGCGCTGATGCAATTTAAGAAGGTCCTGGACCCATCCAACATAAGATGCAAGGTCCTAATGGGATCAAGGGCCATATTGGCTGGATTTTGTATAAACTTGTTTAGCACAATTAACGACGTTCTGAGTCGTTTTAACAAAGCACACTTCCTTTTTTAGGTTGTGTCCATAATGAGCTCGAGGCTACGGCAATCATCATAATCATCATCATAATCACTACATATATGTTGGCACCAAATTATTCTTTTTTTATATATTTTATATCACAAAACACTTCCGATATTCTTACTGTTATACGTTTCCTGGAATTGGTACGCGTACTGCAATGATGCTGTGGTTTTGGTGGTTTGAGATGAATTGGGAACATGCATGTATCTTACGACAATGTCCATCGTTCCATGTGTCCTCCAGTGTGGTAGGCTTTGCGACAAGGCCACCGCGATTCTATAACCTCAAATGAGAGGTTGGACAATTCCAAGAAAAAGGCCCTGTAATGGAGAGGTCTGGACAAGTTTGGAGATGTCCACGCAACTGACAATTCGGATAAAAGCCCGGTCGGACAATATCTGTCCATGATGCATGTAGGTTGACCTTATGAAATACCAAGAAACTTGAACAGGCCAACAAAAGACAAGAAAAACCACAGGTTGATGAATGTCAATCTCAGTCTTCGTCTATGTCTGTTGTCTAGTTCTGTTCCCCAGCTGCGGCTATCAGCTGCCAAGGAGCTGCAATTGAGTTTGGGGGTAATACATCATAAAACAAGGTGTTAATGGTGCTGTAAGACAGATTCAGCAAAGCACCCAGAATCAAAGCCAATCCTGATTTTGTACGATCACGCCAGCTTTCAAGAGACAGAGTGGCCTCGGAAGATCAGAGCCTGCAAGACAGAATCAACTGTCTGATCGATCCTGCAGCTGATCAGCCCAGCTACGCGCTTGAGATCAGATATCACCTCAAATGTCGTTTGAAATAATGCGTAGCTATCAGAGAATAAGTGAAGATGACAAACTCCCACGCATGCTCAATGTAACTCTCTATAAGGTTCAGACCATCTTCTTTGGTTATATAAGAACAGTAACCCTAACCCTAACCCTAATCCCAACATCCACGGTCAAGTCATCCTATATAAAAGATATCCTAACCCGGGAGTTTGAGGGCAAGATCGGCTTCCGCTCCAACCCTAGGAGGAACCAGAGTGATCTAATCCATGACACGTGGGGGGGGGGGGGGGTCTTGTAGAAGCAGCTCTGTCCTCTATCGGTGTCAGCATAGTAGTAAGCAAGTGGTGCGCAATGTGGCTAGCGGCTCAAAGATGTCATCAGTTCAATCCCACTCGTCCCAGAGCTAGAAAAGGGGGAGCAGCTCTCGCTTCTCATGGTGCAGCAGATATCTGCTTTGCGTGGGAAGAGGGGGTAGATCTGTCGCCAAACACACTCTCTCTCACCTCTCTCATCACACAGTACGTCATAAAGCGACCAACCACATCCGCCATCAATGCCACCGCACCCTTCGCGGGATGACTTACATGCAGCAACCCAGGTAGCAAGCCCATATGGGGCCCATATGGGAAGTATCTGGGCAACCTGGGTATGGGCAAACCTCTATGTATCCCATATGGGACCCATATGGGTTATCCCATATGGGGGTCTACCTGGGCTTTCCCATATGGGTGTCATATGGGAAGAAACTGGGCAAGCCCATTCGGGCAGAATATGGGCTGGCCCATATGGGTGTCATTAGGGGAAAAGCTGTGCAAGCCCATGTGGGGAAAATACGGGCTGACCCATTTGGGCGTCATATGGGATAAATCTGGGCACGCTCATATGGGCAAAATACGGACTGGCCCATATGGGTGTCATTGGGGAAAAAGCTGGGCAAGCCCATGTGGGGAAAATACGGGCTGACCCATGTGGGCGTCATATGGGATAAACCTGGGCACGCTCTTTTTAGCAAAATATGGGCTGGCCCATATGGGTGTCATAAGGGGAAAAACTGGGCAAGCCCATGTGGGGAAAATACGGGCTGACCCATGTGGGCGTCATATGGGATAAACCTGGGCACGCTCGGCTCATAATGGGCAAAATACGGGCTGGCCCATATGGGTGTCATTGGGGAAAAACGTGGGTAAAGCCATGTAAGCGGAATACTTGTACTGGCTGGCCCATGTGGGTGTCATAATGGAAAAAAACCTGGGCAAGCCCGTGTGGGCAAAATACGGGCTGGCCCATATGGGTGTCATTAGGGGAAAAGCTGGGCAAGCCCTTGTGGGGAAAATATGGGCTGACCCATTTGGGCGTCATATGGGATAAACCTGGGCACGCTCTTATTAGCAAAATATGGGCTGGCCCATATGGGTGTCATAAGGGGAAAAACTGGGCAAGCCCATGTGGGGAAAATACGGGCTGACCCATGTGGGCGTCATATGGGATAAACCTGGGCACGCTCGGCTCATAATGGGCAAAATACGGGCTGGCCCATATGGGTGTCATTGGGGAAAAACGTGGGTAAAGCCATGTAAGCGGAATACTTGTACTGGCTGGCCCATGTGGGTGTCATAATGGAAAAAAACCTGGGCAAGCCCGTGTGGGCAAAATACGGGCTGGCCCATATGGGTGTCATAATACTGGGCAACTCCACGTAGGCAGAATACAGACTGACCCATATGGGGGTAAATGGTAAAAACCGGGTGTGTGGGCAAAATACGGGCTAGCCCATGGGTGTCATTAGGGAAAAAGCTGGGCAAACCCATGTTCGCGGAATACTGGCCGGCCTATAAGGGTATCACATGGGAAAACCGTGGGGAAAACCAAGTGGGCAGAACACCGCCTGGCCCATTATGGGTGTCATATGGGGAAAAGCGGCAATCCAATGTGGGTTGAATACGGGCGGGCTCATGTGGGTGTCACGTGGGAAAAACCTGGGCAAACTTATGTGGGCCGAATATGGGCCGGCCCATATGGGTGTTACATGGGGAAAAGCTGATCTAAGTTTGAACTTCCGGTCGAGCCGGAAGTAAATGTCGAAGGAGGTCATGTACAGTTCGCAAATGTTGATCTATGAGTGTAGCATCGCATTGCAAAGTACGAACACGATTGGTGATATTGCTGAACAGTTATAAGAGAAATAATTGATCATATTTCGAACATCCGGTAGAGCCGGAAGTTAAGGTCAAACGAGGTTGTGCACACTGCCAAGTTGTTGTTCAGTAAATTGTCTATGGAATGGGAAAATATTCACAAGATCGACGGCGTTGGTAAAGAGTTATAAGCTAAAGAAGTTGTTTAGAAAATGTCTTGTTGATCATTAAGAGTTGGTATGCAAATAGTCATGAATATTTATTACGTAACTGAGCATGCTCACTTGTGAAACAAAGCTGTGGGAGGAGCTTGAAAATTTGCTAACTGTGATTTAGAAAATGGAAATTATTGGGCATATATATAGGAAGTGTGCACACAAAAGATGTAATTAGAAAGGACAGAGAGGAAGGGATGATTATGGGGGATGTGATTACGGGTATAGGGGATGTGATTACGGGGTATATTATGGTTGTAGATGTTATTTGGGAGGATTAAGGGATTAATTAGGGGAAGTAAAGTTGGAAAGTTGGATGGAGCATTGTGAGATGTATTAGCGGGGAATGTGACTAGGGTATGCAAGTGATTTAATGGAAATATAATGTGATTTGGACATTATGGTGGATGAGAATGCTATAAGGTAAGATTGAGGATTAAGATTAGGATTAATATATTTTGGACAACCCACATTTTACCCAGATGGGCCCCACAGCTAACCCATATGGGTTATCTGGGCTGGCCAATATGGGTCCCATATTAAAGATCGTGGGTGCAAAATTATCTGGGGCCCATATGGGTCCGCCCATATGGGACCCATATCTTGGCCCAGATGGGACCCATTAGAGCTTCCCCATATTTTACCCAGATGTTTGCCCAGGTGGGCCCCAGACATAACCCATATATGGGTTTATCTGGGCTGGCCCATATGGGTCCCATAAGAATCTGCTCGGGATTTTATCCTTGAGCCTGAGTCTTTCAGAGGCGTACTTTCCATAAAGCTGGCCTCCCTCCCAGCTCCGTCTGGGAAGACCTCCACTCTAGTGAACTCTTTCGAGAGGGACAAAACAGCCGTGTCTCGGGCCGTCTCGTCATCTGACGGGGCGGTTACAGGGGTCTCTGGTGGGGGGTTTGCTGGATTTACCGGTGTGTCTTTGGGAGCTGGTGGGCTCCCAGTCACTACCAGTTCTGCTGAAGAGTTAGACTGGTACCAGGCCTTCTTCATGGCTGGAGATGAGATGCCTGGTGGAACATCGTTGGGTAACAGCTCAGGGTGGCACATCTATATA